TGGATTCCTGTTGGTTTGTGTCCCTCTGATGGCACTCTGCAGTTCCGCAGGGATGTCCTCAAGGCCGTCCCTGTTGCTCTCATCGCCATTCCGCCCTTCGCCAACTTCCTGGTCCTGCTGCTGATGTGAGTTGTGTCTCTCAACCCCCTCTGCCTTCTCCCCCCCACTCCTCTACCAGGAGCATCCAAACTGGTCCCTCCCCCCTCCTCAGGATCTGTGTGCTGACAGCACTCCTTCCAATTGTGGACAATTGGTTCTGGAGCTGTAATTACAACCAGAGAGTTTAATGGGCCCCCCTGTGCCCCTCCTGTGCCCCCTCACTGCCCCCTGTGTCCTCCATGCCCCTCTTGTGCCCCTCCCTGCTTCTTCTGTGCTCTCTGTACCCACTCCTGTGCCCCTCCTGTCCATGCTGTGTTTCTCCTGCTCCCCTCCTGTCTGTGCTGTACCCCTCCCCATCCCCCATGTCCCTTCCTGTCCGTGCTGTGTCCCCTCTTGTCCATGCTGTGCCCCTCCTGTCCATCCTGTGACCCCCATGTCCCCTCCTGTCCATCCTGTGCCCTCCTTCCGTCCCCTGTGCCCCTCCTGTGTCCCCCCTACCCCTTACTGTATCCCTCCCTTACCCCTCCCTGCTCCCCTCACCCCTCTTGTGCCCCTCCTGCAACCCCCCCCTGACTCCCCCTGCCCCTCCTGCCCCCCTCCTCCCCCCCTCAGGTACTTCTTCCCACGGCAGCTCCTCATCCGCCACTTCTGGACGCCGCGGCAGCAGCAGGAGTTCAGTGAGGAGAACCACAGCGCCCGCCAAGCCGCCTACCCTGCTGTGCTCAGCTGCCTGGACACGGCTGTGCAGTCCCTGCCTCAGCAACAGCTGCAGCACCGCCTGCGGGAGCTCTGCGTCGAGGTGGGGTCTGCACCCCGTTCTGCATCCCACCCCCGGCCCATCCCATCCCCACCCTCATTTCCATCCCTCCCCGTCCTATTATCAATCCCCCTCCACATCCCATCCCTGTTCCCATCCCTGTTCCCATCCCTGTTCCCATCCCTGTTCCCATCCCTGTTCCCATCCCTTCCCCATTATCGTTCCCTACTTTCATCCCGTTCCCATCCCTTTCCCCATTCCTGTCCCGTTATCAATCCTCATTCTCAGCCCATTCCCACCCTCATCTCCATCCCATCCCCATTCCACCTCCATCACCTTCCCTCTCCCCTTCCCCACCCACATCCCACTTCCACCCCCTCCCCACCTCCATCCCCTTCCTCATCCTTGTCTCATTATCAATCCCCACCCCACACCCATCCCATCCCATCTCCACGGCCCCCATCCCATCCTCTCCACGGCCCATCCTCCATGCCCCATCCTTTTCCCCATGCCATTACCAGTCCACATCCCACTTCCATCCCCTTTTCATCCCTTTCTCCATCCTCATCCTATCTCCTGTCCCCATCCCAATCTCATCCCCAGCCCCATTCCCATCCCATTATCAGTTCCCATCCTACCCCATCCCTATCCTGACCCCCATGCTCATCCCATTCCCATCCCATTATTGATCCCCATCCTGCCTCCATCCCCCCCCCCCCCCCCCCCCCCCCCCCCCCCCCCCCCCCCCCCCCCCCCCCCCCCCCCCC